ATCTGTGTGTCTGTTGTGTCCAATGGATTGTGTGTCTGTCACCTTATAAACTCATCTTTCATTATCTGGTTGATCATCATGCAGTCAGTGTCCATGCACTGTGTGTCAGATCTGTCCAGTATCTGTGTGTCTGTTGTGTCCAATGGATTGTGTGTCTGTCACCTTATAAACTCATCTTTCATTACATGGTTGATCATCAGTCAGTGTCCATGCACTGTGTGCCAGGTCTGTCCAATATCTTTTTGTCGCCAATGGATTACTCTTGCTTATAGTTCTTTTTTTGTTGCAGTCTCAGAGATGGGTTGGCCAAAGTTCGTGTGGGCCAAGGTGCCTGGTGAGAGGGCACTGTGGCCAGTAAAACTAGTGTCTCATGATGACCCAAAATCTACTGTTTATTGTCGGGCTGATGATGCAGAGTAAGTTGGCTTAGCTTTATTTCTAGCCAATTATTCACTGTTAGATTTGCACAGAAATTCACTTTAACTATGTTACTTTTGGAATGCAATGAGAGGGATCAATATTAAAAAATTTTAAAGATACATTCACACTAACTCGATCATGGGGCAGTATGTTAAATGTGTTCAACATGATCTTGTTGGTTGGAAAGTTTTACAACTTGCATAACAGTCAAACGTCACATTTATTCATTGGCTTTCATTTTTGAAAAGAGATACATAGGTCTATCATTATAGATCTTCCATTTAAATCCCTTTGCGTCATGTTATATTGAAATGTTCATTAATCCATATAGGATGCTGGTGAAAACATCACAGATCTATCCATTTCCTGGAAACGACTTTGACATCTTAAAGGCAAAAGGCATTGGTATATGAATATATATATTCATATGAATTTTAGGCAATGGTGAATAATTCTAATAATGATTCAAAAATATACATTTACCAGTAGTGAAAAATCATGACCCATTAAAACAACCCTATTAACAGTATTATATTAGTACATGTATGGGCCTAATATCTCTAGTGCAATTTTGTGATGGTTTGTCAAATAGAATTATTCACCAGTGGCCAACATTAATTTGAAATTATTACAGTTTGAGTTAACTTAACCTCTTGATTCGTTAAAATGTTTTATACTTCATTCTAATCATAATTAACCCAGGAGCCATTTTTAGCTATTTTCACAACACACTGTCAGCCTCGTCATCAAAATCTACTTCTCCAAATCAGCTGAGCTTATTTATTTTAATTTGAGTCATTGTAATATGTGAGGCCCTTATGTAAATTTGTTCAAAGTGAGTCACTGTGACCTACTTTTCAAAATATACAGGCAAAGTTAAAAAAAATTCTATTACTTCTTCTCTGAAAAGACATGGCTCAGTGATCCTGGCTAATTAGGAAATATTTATTAGGCATTTCTAGGCATACTTCCATCATATTATTTTTATAACAGATCACAATGTAAGATGATGGGTAAGTCGGATGATATTTTCTGTAGTTATGTATAAATTAATGCATACTGAATTTTTCATTTGATTTTTCAGCTACTCTGCAGAAGAAGAGAGCAACTTTGAAATGTTTTCTGGATGATCTTGACTGGGCCAAGTGTAAGTTTACACTTATAACACACTTTAATATCTAACATATATATTTTTGGTCCCTGTTAGGGATAGGGGCATCTGTATATATCCGCCATTGGTTCCTATTAGTGTATAATGTAGGCACTAGCTTAATGCAAAATGCAAAATGCATTTACAATCAGCTGACACCATGTTTACGTGCGTGTTCGATCGAATGCCTGGCTGCAGATACAGGGCAGAAATGCAACTACATCTGCAAAATACTGACCCGTGGTACTGCAGCATATATACAGACTGGAATATTTATAAGGATGGGTGAGGTGTTATCTGTATAAGGATTGGAATTGATAGTTGTAGTCTGTCAGATTGCCATCGATGATGGTTATTCAGAAACAGTTTCCA